ATTTATTTACAAAATTATCACCATTCAAAATCAAATATTACATTGTTTGCACTCTGCAGTAATCTATAACAAAAGACAAGTTTTGATGCAGTTTCTAAACCTAAACAATTTCTCAATTTGCTATGCACGAACGAGAATTTTGAGAAGATTCTCTCAAGTCCAGCAGAACTCGCAGGCATTGCCATTCACAAAAGATTAAAACTGTTACTGTTATAATAATTGGATTGTTGCCATGTAAATTATGTCTTGAAAAGAAAAAAACTATTTGAAAATAGCTCTATTCAGTTATGTTAAGAGTTAAGTGATAATAATTACTGAATTTCAGAATATAAAATATAATATAATAAACTAAAATCTAGTATTTATATTTATTATTACATTACTTTATTCTTTATTTTATATAAATATTTGATATACTGCACTGCTTAGATTTACTATAAACAAAATAATATATATTTAGAAACAATGAATTAAAAAGTTTGTTACAGTTACATGGAGTTAAATTTTTCAGTTTACTTAAACAAAATGTCAAACAATTACTAGAACTAATATAGAAGCTTTTTAAGCTTCTGCCAGTTTTTACCGGTTATAACCAGTTTCTGCCACTGGCATGGCAAAAACCAGTTTCTGCCGGCAAAAAGCCAACCCTGTCACAAATGGATGTTGGTCACACTTAGGGTAGAATGTCAAACATACAATTATAAACTTTACTAAGGTCTGTTTTCATAAGAATGAGCAAATTAAATAACATTACATAAATTTTTAGATATGATTTCAAAAATGCCTAACAAAACAAATACAGTGAAACCTCTCGGTAAGGGCCACCTGTCGTTCCATTAAAAATTGGCCCTTATGGGGGGTGGCCCTTAAATGGGGGTGACCAAAAAATAAAATGAGGAAATCAAAATTTATGTAGAAAAAACTGTTTATTAACATTTTAAGTTTTTATACATGCTTAAAAAAATTTTCAATTGAAGTTAGTTTACTTTTTACAATTTTTCGCAAACAATTTTAGTTTCTAATGATTCTTTAACTCTATAAAACAAATTAGTTAAATTCGCATCATTTATTAATGCCTTGGATTGGGATATCAGTTTATTTACTTCTATTAGCGTTTCTTGGTTTGATAAATATGGCATGGAGGACTCATTCTCATTATCTGAATCAGACTGAACTCCTGAAAAAATTGTTTATCTGAATTTGGGTCATATTGAATTGCAGCAGTTATTGAAGGTTCAACCACTTCATTTTCTAAATCAGCTGCATCGATAGTGGCCTCTAAAGCTGTATTGCTTAGCTCGCATTTTTTAAAGCAATTTACAATTGTCTGTCCTTATGCATTTTCCCAGGTGTGTCTAATCCACCGAATGGCATCTAATACTGTTATAGATTGAATGATTTGTGATGAATTTGTATCGCAATCTATAAGAGAAAGGAGTCTTCGCAAAACAGAACGTCAGTATTCTAATTTAAAGCAGCGTATAACTCCTTGGTCTAGGTTGAATTTCAGACGTAGTATTTGGAGGCAAGAATTGAAGCTTTACACTTTTCAAGTTTTCATAAAACGTGCAAGAAAATAATAACTTTTCTGCCTTGATTTATAATTTTATTGTCAAAACTAATCAACCAATCTTTAAATACTTCCATGATCATCCATGACTTCTTATTATGATGATATTTTACTCCCATTTGTGATAAATCTTTACCTTTAAAACAACGAGGTTTCTTGGAGTGCCAAATGACGATGGGCTTTCCTTTTCACCAGCAGCATTAGCACAAAAACACACAGTGAGCCTCTATTTAGCTTGTTTTCCTCCTTTGGCCTCTTCTGCTTTCTCAACTAAACTTTTGGTAGGTAAGGCATGGAAAAAAAGTCCTGTCTCACCTAAGTTCTAAACATCACGATCTTCATAGCCTGCCAGAATGATTGGAAGCCTTGATTTCCAGTCTTGACACAAATCTTTATCAACATTTGCTGATTCATCGCATAATGTTTTAAAAACAATATTGTTTATATTACAAAACTTATTTAACCATCCGTTGCTTGCACAAAAGTCTTCTACACCAAGTGATTCTGCAATCTGAATGGCTTTTTCTTTCACTGAAATACCACTTAATGGGACGTTTTTAGTCCTAGCACATCTGAACCACTGAATTACAGCTTCATTTATATCACAGAACTTTTCATTTCCCTTTCTCTTTATCCCACGATTTTTAAAATCTTCATATTCTTTCAGTAAGCTCTCTTTGTTTTTAACAACTTTGTTTATTTGATTCTTGCTGCAATTAAACTGTGAAGCCGATTTTCTTGCAGATGTTCCTTGATCATGATAATTAAGAACCTTTGTCACTCAAATCCGATGTAATCTTTTGCTTGGTTTAGGTGCCATGATTTTTAATTTTACTTGTGCCTGAGCATAAAATTTCTAGTGTAAAAAACTGTGCTTCAATATGCCTTCACACTTATAGTAAATGAGGACTCTAGTTTCTTACTATCAAAAGAGTACAAAGGCTTAAACCTGTTATCCTTTGTGCACCCACAACAAAAGGTCAAGTTCCTCCCCCAATGCTCAAAATTTTTCAGCATAAAAGGGAAGTTGAAAGGTCAAACAGAGTGTGATGAACACCTGTTTTCTCACTTATGGAAAAGCTTCTGAGTCTTCATTGTGTTAAATCCTCCCCTTCTTTCTTGAAAGTGCAGGTGTTTGGAATTCCTGAGCTCTTATCTTCTAGTTAAAGAATTTGACACACCTGTTTAGATTTATGGCCTTTATGAGAAGAAAAATGTAAAAAAATGGCTTATTTGGGAAATTTTTTTAAAAAAAAAATGGCCTTTATTGGAGGTCGTCAGGAAAATGTGGCCCTCTAATGGGAAGAAAATCAACATTAGTCTATGGGGAAAATTTTCATTCCTCAAAATATTGGCCCTTAAGTAGAGGTGGCCTTTAGGAGAAGTTTCACTGTATTTTAATTTCAGTTATCTTTAATAAACACATATTAATTGTAGCAGTTTTATATGCCACAAGCTATTAGTGTTTAAGCCGCAAAAAACTAAGTTTTATAAGTCATGCAATAATTTTTTAATAATTACACCTACCCATATCAATTACTTTCCATTCTTTACAATCTTCTCCCTCAATTAGAAAAAATGGATCTTTAGCATGTCTCTTCATTTTACTCTAAAAAAATTATTAAGTAATTAAAAAAAAAAGAGAAATAAAAACCATAAGTAATTTGCAATCACATTAGAAAAAGTCAAGTTTTTTTTATCTTGAAATAAAATTATCTTGATTTAAACAGGGTAAAATACTTGGAAGGGAAGAACATTGAAAAATTTCCTTATTATACACCAAAATCTCTCTTTATTTATTATTATTTTTTAATGTTTCCTGATAAACCATCTGACTAAGGGTTGTTTGCCGCTTCTTTTTAGTTAGAGGAACCACTAGGGCAGAAGACTGACTTGACCTCTGGATTCACCTGCAGTCGTTAGCTGAGCAAAGTGGAACGGCCTTCACGCCTTGGAACAACAACAATCCTTCAGAAATTTTCTATTTCTCAGAATTCTAGACAAGTGTGGAAACTTATTCCTCCAAGTTTTCATAATTTAAAGTATTTTTTAGTGTAACAAGAACAGCAATAATTAGACTTAAAAATTTAAAGACAAAGTACATTATATAACAAAATTATGAGGTTTTTGTAACACTTATTATAAGTAATATAAATTTTCCAAAATTAAATTAAGTTAATGAAAATATCTGTTACAAAAATAACTAATCTTCTATCAAATCAAACAAGTTTTTAAGCAAAGTTTTAGGAATTTTGTCTTTCTCATCTATGATAGCTACTTCCAGGTCGTATACAGGATCATGTTGGCAGTTATTTGCATACACTTGTCTTGCCAAGTAGCTAACAAATTTTCAACAGAATTAAGATTGGAAATTTTCTTATGAATACAAATAAATTAAATTTTCAGTTTCTTTATAATATTATTGTTTACGTATACTGCAATGCCAACTTACAGTTTACACATGATTTCAAAAAAAGAAATAAAAAGATTCTGAAAACTCATATGATTTTGAATGAAGAAATAGGTGGTCTTAAAACACTTATACAACACATAGATGCTAAAAAATTGTTTGCTGTGCGAAACTAACTAAATTCCTTTCAATTTAATAAAGTATAAGTTATTTCAGGTAATATAAGTTATTTCAGGAATATAAATTAAATAGGAAAATATAAGTTATTTCAGGTGCTTTGCAATTTTAAATTTTTTTATTTTATACAATATACTACAAAAGTAAAAGATATTTGGCAAAGTAGTATAATTTTGTAACACATTGTACAGATTATGTATCAAAAAAACATTTTGCTTTTTTCACAAAAATTAAATTGTAGTTACCATGTCCTCAATTTTCTCAGTGAAACATTTCTTCTTTCTTGGTTTTTAACTTTTTGAAACCATTTTAATTGAACAATTTTTTAAAGTAGAAATGGCAAAAGATTTAAATTAGTAACTGGACTAGTACTTCTAGTAATTACTTCTCAATTATTTCATTCAGATATGCCACACCTGAATTTCACTTTTTTTTCTACTACAGCAACTTTAGAAAAGGAATACCATGCACATTACTAAGAGTTAAATAAAAATAAAAAGGTACAAAAATAACAACAATAAACACAGCATGAGAAAAGTTCATACTCTATTTGCTTATCAGAAATAGAGTATGCACTTCATCAGATAATTTAAAGAAAGTTTATATTAATTTTAAAAATTAGGTAATATAAATTTGAAATTTTTTTCCCACTGCTTTAGGAAAAAATAAAGTTTGCAAAATAAACCAACCTATACACTTATAATTGAGCCTGCATTAAAAAAAAAAATTTATAGCTAGGATAGTATCAGAGATGTCAAGGTGCTAAAAACTTTTATGCAAAAATTATTTCTTTAAAGCAAATTTCGAAATTATATTTTCACTGCTTTTGAAAAAATTTTAATTCAAAAATTTCTTTCTCTTTCCTAGTTAGATATACTAAGATATGACAAAAATGAAAATTTATGCAGAATGACCTTAGAAGAAGCATATTTTGAATGTATCAAGCAATTATAAAATTTCTATCCTAAACATTTAAAATAAATTAATTTGATGCTTACAAGCTTTTTAATTCGCTCACAAACAGCTTTAGAATGTCGTGGAGATGTAGCTGTAACTATTACTAAGAAATCAGTGTAACATAGCTCTTTCGGAACTGAAATAACCGCAATGTCTTCTGTATTCTCCTTTTTGAGTACATCAACTATTTGTTCGATGTCAAAAACTCCGTGCATTCCACCTAAAACCAAATTTTATAAAATCCAATTAATAAAAATGTAAAAGCTAACATATTATATTAATATACACTTCGAAAATAATCAAGGATTCCATTATTATAGGTTTGCTAATAGAATGTTAGTCATACATTGGATAGAATTGCTATCTAAACTTAATTGTTTACATGTGAATTTTATCTTCGATCAAGTTACTTTCCCTAGTACTGAAAAGCCATTTATGCTGATTAAGGTATTCCAACAAACAGACATGCAGGAAGCTCGGCAACTAGCTTCAAAAAATGTTCATATGTATCATAAAATAAAAAATCAAGAATCCCTTTTCTTATACAGTAATCATTTTTCATCATAGTCTTTCTTTTTCAAAAGCAAGTTCTTTTTTCATCAAAAGAATTACCATAATCATAAATAAAAATTTAAAAAAGTATGTATATGTTAATTCAAAGCAACACTTTATCACATTAGCAATTGAAATCAAAATTTAAAGGAAAAATTTAGTATTTTTTTATTTATTTAGTTACGCTTAAACTAAAAGTAATAGCATAAATAATAAAAAAATTTCATCATAAAAAAAAGATATTTTTCTTTTAAAACACAAGGTTACTTAAGATAAGAAAAAACTGTTTGATTTAAACTGACCAATCCTGATTGACAATAATAAGTATCAGAAAGAAGCCTGTTATTTAACATTTTATTATCTTTTTAATTGGAAAAAATTCAGATTCTTTTTCTTGAAATAATAATTAAAATAACTAGCTTATTATTGAACTAGTTAACCACATGAAAACCAATTTCAACCATAACTTTTCACCAGCACATTTTAAGTATTACAAAGAAGCTTAGTCATCTTACGCTTTGCAATCATCTCATCTTGAAACAAATCAGAATCTGTTTCTTGATTTATATGATAAACATAATCTTCTTTATTCGCTTGCAAATCTTCATAACTAGGTATAACCACAGAATCTTTATCACTGAATTCTTTAAATTTTTCTTTCAAATTAATGTTCGATTCCTTTGATTTTTGAGAAGAACAAGAGCTTTTATCTTCAGAATTTGTTTGAGGAGAGTCTGGTTCATCAAGGCTTTTTCTAATTTCGTCTAAAATTTGTTCAGAATCACTGCCAACGTCAAAGTCTTTGGAAAAATCATTAAGATAACTTTGGAATTCTCTATCGTCAATAATATTTTTCCGTTCATCTTTAGAATTGCTTTCATTAGTGTCACTAGAGTTCGCTAAATTCGAACTCGAAACAGTTCGCATAAAACTAAATTTTACTTTTAAAGCATATTTCATTTTATCAATTTGTTTTTGAGTACAATTATATGAGTACGAACGTTCTAATTTGATGTTAGAAGCATAACAAAGTCTTAAAATTGGTAAAAATCGTCTAATAGGTTTACTTATTACTGAAGTCATGTTGAGTAAAAAGTTGTTTTAAAGATGCAAGAGAAAATATCAAAAAGCAAACAATTCACAAGTAGAGAAGAAAATCAAATGATTTAACAGGAAAGTATGAACATTAAGAGTAACATATTACGAAAATCATCTTTCTTTTTTCAAGGACATTTTAAAAGTAATGCAAACAAACAATTATCGAATTTTCTCCACAACACAACGTTTTCAGCTGCTTATTTCTGTTTTCTCTTATACTTACAATTTGATCAGATATTTATATTTTCTACCACATGCACATGAGCTATAAACTTGACAATGCACAATCACAGCGCTCGGATACGTCATCTGGGGAGAAAATTGGTTCCATGTCCGGACCCTCCTCAATTCCCTTTTCTTCCTCTCCTCAGTTGTAGAGGAATGTACTACGATATTTTATCCTTTCAAAATGTTTTTCGTATTTAATTATCAAAAATATTTTTTAAAATTTCCACGATACTTTCTTTTAGAACTATGTTCAATGAAGTTTTCAGTTCCATATAGTTTCCAAGATGCGATTTTATTTTTTCAGGAGCGAAATATCTTTCCGAAAAAAAAAGAAAAAGAAAGTGCCAATTCTATGACATGAAACTTTATTATGGTGAACGTACGTTTTGGAAATGTGATTTCTTTCGGAATTTTATTTATTATAATTCATATGGCGATAGCACATCAGGTGAAAGAAAATAGTTTAGTTTTGAATCGATGTTAAACTTTATATCGGCCCATTTTCCACCGAAACCCGATTAACTACTTTGATTTTAAATAAAATATTTTGAATTATGAAAGTGTTTTGATTTTAAATAAAGTGTTTTATTTTATAATTTGTCGCAAAAATTTTAGGTATAGATAGGCGGCACTTAAAAACTGCCAAATCTGTAGTTGCGGTGGCGTTGATACGTAAGTACCGAATTTTTATTCCATACTTTTCTGAATCATATTACTTGCTTCAAACATAGGAATATGCAAGAAGTATACATAAGCACATAATGTTATACCATTTAATTTTTGAAATTAATTATTTTAACGAAAAATTATAAACTGAAAAACGTAAATTAAAGAATTCTTCGGACAAAGAAAAAAAACGATTTTAAAAATTCCTCAAATTGAAACAAAAAACTTCCATATTGTTTCTTTTTTTATTCTTATAGTTAGTTCTTAATCAGACGTAAAAAACCATTCTGTAATGAACTATCATCAAATAAGAAAAAAAATTTACTTACCAGAAAATGTTTTATTATAAAAATCATAACACTTATCTGATTTATAAATCCGTAGAATTCCAAAATGAAATGTTCTTCGTTTCAAAATTTTATTTTGAAATAATATATTCATAGATTATACTTTTAGATAACATATCACACTGCAAAATTTTGTAACTGTAAGACCTCGATATGAATTTTAATATGCAGTTTTGAAACAGAATAGCTGAATTCTAGTTGAAATTATTCTTTCAAAACTAAAAAACACTTACCAAGAAAACGATAAAAGTGTTTAATAATCAGTACGAATGATATTATTTCAAGTAATGCGGATGATTCTTTATTGTTGTTTTCCGAATTATGTAGATACAGAAATATATATTATTCTATAGAGAAGAAGAATATTCTATAACTATTAAAGTTCTGTACGTTCTGAATTCAAATTTATTCATTGGGATGAAGAAAGCAATGTTGACTTCACTTGTATTTGTAAGGAACTGAAGACATAAGAAATGTCTTACACGCATCTGTAACAGTATGCAATCCCGAAGTCGGAAGTTATCAGTTGCAAGTTTGTAGATAATAGAAGTTAAAAAGTGAGGAATTTTTCTTCAAATATTTGACGTGTTATGTTTCTTTAAGATTTACCAATATTCTGGAGAATTTTTTCAAGTTCTTCGGCCTTTTCCTTAGGGAAATTTCGCTTCTTATTTGCTGCTAAGAAAATGGCGTTTGATTCTGCCAATGATTTTGATGGAACTAAATAAATTAATGTCTGATATTTTCAGGCTCTCGCTAGATGGCGCACTCGAGCGTTGCGATCGCGAATCGTTAAAGTTTTTAATCTATTTGAAAATCAAGACAGAAACTAAAGTACTTCCTTCTCCGATGACTCTCCACATGCAAATGGTTGATTTGATTTATTGAAATTACATACATTTGCTGACTTGTGTGCTCAATATAGGCTTATAAGTCATTGTCAAGTAGAAAATACAGATAGAACAATTCAGAGAAAGACATCACAAAGAATACATCCAGGGTTACGGCGGGATTCGAACCCGCTACCTCCACGCTTAACAGAGCGTTTGGACCGGCAATACCGCTCGGCCAGGGAGGCCCCACATGCAAATGGTGGAAGCATGCGAAGATTGCGAGGTGTTGCCATAAACAGAGAGTTCTGCTCTACGCCACCTGTAGCCCGTTTTGATAGCCAATGAAGCAAATTGTCCCAAAATCATTAATCTTTTAGGGAGCGATAGCATGTTTTCGGGTCATCCTCAGGGATGTTTCCCTGACTGTCACAATAGCCTATTGTGCAGATCTAGGGCGACATAAATTAAGTACCTATCTAACCTTTTTTCATGGCCGTGGTAGCCCAGCGGATAGAGAATCAAATTTCGGTTGGAAGGTACAAGAGTTTTAATCTTCGACTCCGCTAGGACCTACCAGGTACATGCGATATACGCGCTCGTAAATTCTGTGAAATCAAAAGTCATGTGGTCGGTCGTTGAGTAATAACATGGCTACAGGAATTTGAAGAAAATTAATTTCTCCAACAGATCTATGTTTAAATTAATGAAATGGCCTAACAAGAAAGATCACCTCTGCAGAGGAGCAAAATTGTGATGAAGTGTCTTCGGATCAACCTCAGGGATGTTTACCGGACTGTCGCGAATAGCTCATAGGGAAGCTCTAGTGTGATATAAAGTACCCACCTATCTCATTTTTTTTTTGAAAATTTTCTCTTTTTCGCCTGAACTTGTGTTTTGGAGACAGTCTTCGAAATTTTAAACTCGTCACAAAGTTGATCGTTCATAATTATAGAAAAAATTTTAATTGGTATTATTCTGTATTAAAATAAAGAATTTGGTGCTCTTATGCTGCATATATATGGTCCTATATCACTCCTTAATGTTGACCTATAATAATAAAACTTGATCAGGTATTATATTATTACGTACTATACTACTATACAATTAGAAATATAGACAAATTAGGGTGCTCAAGGTGTTTCACAGTATTTAATTATTTATGCATATATTTTTAAGTGCATTTAATAGCGATAAAATGGAGAAATTATTGCTGATACGCTGTATATATGTATCCATATCTTCCCTTAATATTAACCTATAATATTCAAACTCAGTCTGGTATTATATTATATCATATTATACTACCTTACCAAAGGAAATTATTCTAGACAAATTAGGGGCCCCACAATATGGCTCGATATTTATTATATGTAAGTATATTCATTTAAGTGCACATAATAGCGTTAAAAGTAAGAAAATGTTGCTTTCATATATGAGTACATAATCCTTATCACATATTTTCAAAAGTAAGGATTTGTTACTAATATACAGTAGATATATATGGCCTAATATATCTCCTTAATATTAGCTTATAATTTTTAAACTCGGTCAGATATTAGAATATAAAACTATATATTTCCATACTAAGGGAAATTATTATAGACAAATAAGAGGGCCCTTAATATGGAACAGCTGCAACTTCAGTTGTGTACCTCAATTTAATTCCATTGAAAAATCGCGGGAAAATAAACAAATGTCTTATTATAAATTGGATAGCCAAGTGTGATTAGTAGGATTAAGTGTTAGGAAGCCACAAATTGCTAAACAGAGGATTCGCGGTTTGAACCCCTGACGTGTTCAATTTTAAAAATTATATTTATTATGAATAAATATTTTATTTTATTTATTTTACATTGCTATAACCTAAACAAAATATTCTTTTACTTAAAATTATTATTATTTCCTATTCCAAGTGCGTGATATAATAAAAACTCTAAAATGAAGAAATTGTTACTTATTTACTATATATATATATGATCCCATATTTCCTTCTAACATTAACCTATAAGAAGGTAATACACTATAACATACTATACTACCATACCAAAGAAAATAATTATAGACAAATTAGGGGCCCAAAGTGTGGCACAATATTTAGGTACGTATGCATATATTTCTAACTGCATGCAATAGCATTAAAATGGAGAAATTATTTCTGATATATACTGTATATATATGCATGGCACTATAGCTCCCTTTAACAATAACCTATAATTTTCTAACTAGGTCAGGTATAAGATTCTAAAATAATATTATCTTCTTATATCTATCTATCTAACTATATAATGTATTTTATTACTATTATTATTATCAATATATATTACATATAAATATTCATAAATATTTATTATAGACAAATTGGGGAGCTAACTCCAAAATGGTTCCATTTAAATTTCGCTGGAAATTACTTAAAAAGCTTGTTATGAGTCAGGCAGCCAAGTGTGACTGGTTCTAATTNATTATAACATACTATACTACCATACCATAGAAAATAATTATAGACAAATTAGGGATCCAAAGTGTGGCACAATATTTAGGTACGTATGCATATATTTTTAACTGCATGCAATAGCGTTAAAATGGAGAAATTATTTCTGATATTTACTGTATATATATGCATGGCCCTATAGCTCCCTTTAACAATAACCTATAATTTTCTAACTAGGTCAGGCATAAGATTCTAAAATAATATTATCTTTTTATATCTATCTATCTAACTATATAATGTATTTTATTACTATTATTATTATTAATATATATTACATATAAATACTTATAAATATTTATTATAGACAAATTGGGGAGCTAACTCCAAAATGGTTCCATTTAAATTTCGCTGGAAATTACTTAAAAAGCTTGTTATGAGTCAGGCAGCCAAGTGTGACTGGTTCTAATTCGTTTAACACCAAACTAACTGGCAGATGCTTGCTGAGAGTCTAAGTGGCAAGAGGTCGTCATATCATGGAAAAAACTTTTTGTCTCAAATTATTTTTCACCTCCATAACTAATTTAAAATCTTAACTATTTCAAATGTGAGCTCAGGCGGCACAACTAGAGTAAGCAATAAAGTCTCAATTTCTGAAGGAAAAAAAAAATCTAAATATCTTAATATAAACGAATTAT